ACAAACAAATATTTCCAAAAGAGAAAGTCTTTTTCTATTATTTAGAATTTAAGTCTTAAAGTAGAAAGAAGCGATTGTGGGTGAAATACAAGGCTGAAATGCCCTTCACAGAATGACAGATTACTTGCAATTTTTAAATCATTTCATGAATACTCTTTATTTTGAAGGGTTCATCTCATATCTACTATAATTAGAACCATTGATTTCAATGAAGTTTTTCTTCCTGCTCTATAACCTTGACAGGTGCAAACATTCAAAGACTAAAAACATCTCATTCAGAATATAGCACAGAGGGATTTTTTGTTTTTTCCTAAAATATGTCACCAGATTGGCACACAGTTGATATCTCATTCTCTAATTTTCTTCCAGCTTCTAGTTAAGTAAAATACCGTCGTTTTAGAGGAATGAGAAAGGACTTGCCACAAGAAGAATGAAATCTTGCTCTTTAGTAAGAATGATGTTGAGTCTGCAGCTCTGATTCCTTGCCAAGAATTATGACTCTCTACCACCTCACGAAATTCAAATACTAATTGGTCAACCTGTAAAATAGCACAAGGCTTGTAACCATAATGCATGAATTACAACCAAAGATGAACTCTTGGGTATAGAAACAACTGAGGAACAAACAGATGGTATGCACAGGCAAGTGAAGGTCAAGGCTTACATGGTACCACTAGCCTGGGGAGATACTAAGTGAATATGTGAATGTCTTAAGTATTCATGAATCAACTACTAAGCTAAAATATGGCATAAATACTAAACATAAGGAAAATCTACTCATGGTGTTACAGTAGGGTCACTAAAACGATAGTATCAACAGGCAGTTGCTGGTGGCCTACAGTGTCCACAGGGGTACTGTTTTCTCTTGAGATGCCTTACAGGACACAGAAAGTGGTCTCAGGAAAGACAGTGACAAGCCAAGTCCCTGCGTGGAGCCAGCAGCTGTCAGTCAGGGGAAAGCTGCAGGGTGTTGGTGGCCACACTGAGATGCAATCCCAGGTGCTATCCCTGACACGTCATGGCACTATTCACAACAGTAAAGACAGAGAATCAATCTAAATGCCCATCAACAGTGGACCAAATAAAGAAAGTGGGGTACATATATACCATGGAATACTATGCAGCCATAAAAAGAAGATCACGTCCGCTGCAACAACATGGATGGAGCCGGAGGACATTATCCTAAGATAACTAACACACGAACAGAAACACAAATACTGCACACTCTCACTGACAAGTGGGAGCTAAACACCGAGTATGTGTGGACGAAAAGAAGGAAAACAGCAGACACCAGGGCCCACTTGGGTGTGAAGGGTGAGAGGAGGAAGAGGATCAAAAAAATACCTTTTGGGCACTATGCTCATTACCGGGGTGAGGAAATGATCTGTACACCAAACCCTGTGACATGCACTTTAGCCATATAACAAACCTGCACATGTACCCTTGAAGCTAAAATAATTGTTAAAAAAAGAAACAAAGAACTATGTAAGCTGTTAGGTTGTGTATATAGTGCCACTTCTGTTTCACATAAAATTTGATTCTTTTCTCATGTTCCTTTCATTCATCCACATTGATATAAACTTTTTGGGAGGTACATTTCTATTTAAAAATTATCACTAAAGACTTAGGTGTGCTCAGGAACAATTTTTTAATGCTTATCTTTAGAAGCATCAAATATGCATTCAGAATTAGCATACATATAATCATATGTTGACTTCAAACCTTAAGTATGATCTATAATTACAGATTCTTAAACATATGAATATATAAAGGCCTTACTAAGATTGCTGAGAAAACACAGAAACAGATTTTTGAAAAACCAAACAATAAACACAGACTCATGAATCAACTAAAAATTTCTTCTGCATTTAATTTATAATATACTTTTTCTATATCCCGCTAATTTTCTCTACGGATGCTAGAGTTTTTTTGTCTTTTTGTTTTTATCTTAGATTTTAAGCCTCGTACCCAGAAAGGTATTTCTGCAGCACCACAATTTGACTGTTTTAAACAGTCTCATTTAGAAGAAAAAAATTTATAATCTGTTTAAATTAAGAGGAAATTTGGAAAGACAGCGTTCGTTGTATGTGTATGTGTGGATACGTGTGCCTCTGTGATGGAAACAATAATGATGTGATGAATTCTAGTTTCCTTGGAAACAGCATGACCAAAGCGTACTGTGTGTTCCTAGTAGGATATGGACCTATTTGGAAATATAACAGTATGATACTAAGTATATTTTCCACTAAGAAATTCAAGATAGTTTTGCCTGTGAAAAACCTCGTTTTATTCACAGATCCTCAGTTTTCTGACTAACTCTATTTATGCTGTGCTGAAAGGAAGGAGCCATTTACATTCACTTAATGTGCTTCCATGGGTTCATGAATGTTCGTGGGCCTCGTACGGGCACAGACAGTCCTCCAAGGAGCTACTGTGTTCGCTGGGAGGTGTGGACCCATAAAGGCATGGAGGGCACAGGATAGAGGAAGAAAACCTCCACAGGCTAGAGAAATAGGTATGTGATATGGTTTGGATCTGTGTCCCTGCCCGAATCTCATGTTGAACTGTAATCCCCAGTATTGGAGGTGGAGCCTGGTGGGAGGTGTATTAGGCCATTCTCCCATTGCTATAAAGAAATACCTGAGACTGAGCCGGGTGTGGTGGCTCACACCTGTAATCCAAGTACTTTGGGAGGCCAAGGCAGGTGGATCATCTGAGGTCAGGAGTTCGAGACCAGCCTGGCCAACATGGAGAAACCCCGTCTCGACTAAAAATACAAAATTAGCTGGGTATGGTGTTACATGCCTGTAATTCCAGCTACTCAGGAGGCTGAGGCAGGAGAATCACTTGAACCTGGGAGGCGGAAGCTGCAGTGAGTCAAGATCACGCCATTGCACTCCAGCCTGGGCAACAAGAGTGAAACTCCATCTCAAAAAAAAAAAAAAAAAAAAAAAAAAAAGAAAAAAGGAAATACCAGAGACTGGGTAATTCATAAAGAAAGAGGTAAGAGGTTTAATTGGCTTACAGTTCTGCAAGCTGTACAGGAAGCATGGTGCTGGCACCTCTCGGCTTCCGGGGTAGCCCCAGGAAACTTATAATCATGGTGGAAGGTAAGGGGGAGCAGACACATCTCATGAGGACAGCACCAAGCGGGGTGGTACTGTGGTATTAAACCATTGGTGAGAAACCGCCCTCGTGATCCAATCATCTCCCACCAGGGCCCCACCTCCAACAATTTGACACAGTTTCCTCATGAACTGTTTAGCACCATCCCTTTGGTGCTGTCTATGATAGTGAGTGACTTCTCATGAGATGATCTGGCTGTTTAAAAGTATGCAGCATCTTCCCCTCCTCCTTGTTCCTACTTTTGCCATGTAACGTGCCTGCAGCTCCCGCTTTGACTTCCACCATGATTGTGAGCTTCCTGAAATCATCTCAGAAACCGAGCAGACATTATTGCCACGCTTCCTGTAAAACCTGCAGAACCGTGAACCAATTAAACCTGTTTTCTTTGTAAATTTGCCACTCTCAGGTATTCCTTTATAGCAACACAAGAATGGCCTAACAGTACGTTTAACAAGAAGAATTAAAAAAAAAGATGTGGGAAGAAACCCAATATGTAAACAGGTAGAAATATATCCTTGAGGATCTGAGGGGATAGAAGAGGTGGAAGGATACATTTTAAAAATTATATTGGAACTATAATGTGCTTTCATTCAAATGTTGTTTATAATCACAATAACATACCGCTTTTATATAAGCTGAAATGACATCTAAAGATCAAGGGGCTTTGTGGTTGGAAGGATGTAAGAGCATTGCTGAGTTGAGCTGGGCGGGAGGAGGGTGTGTGAGGGCTTTAGAAAGTCCATGGACTTCCTAAAACAAAGTGCCTAGGTCTGCCCAACCCTGGCTTTTTGCAAAACACAACTGGGAGGGGCCAGGGCCATGGCAGATCTATGAGAGCTTCCAGAGAGAGCACTGCCCGTCTTGTTCGTTCCTTTTGAACTTTGCTTTTGCCCTAGAGGACTGTGGCCAGTGGGCAGGTGGACAAGAGACTATATCCCTACTCCAGTGCAAAGAATGGCAGCATGCTTGATCATCAAACTGATAATTTTACAACTAAAGGAATATTGAAACATTTTGGAAAAATGCTGCTACAGATCAGATTCACACACTCCACCCCAGCGTTTCATTCATTCCAGACCCACAGGGTTTGTTCTCTTTGTAGGAAACTATAGATGATTTTGGCTTCTCCAGCATCAATACTAATGTTGGTTTTATAGGAAACCCGGTAACTTGCACGGGGAAATATTTCAGATTATGATCATCAAGTCTGCCCCAAGTCCTACTCAAAGCTCATGCAAGTATATTTAAAAACCATTGCGCCCTGTTACTCACTTCTGTAAGTGGAGAATTCAGAAAGGGCGAGGGAGTCTTTCACTGCCAGCTCCATGTTGACCCTCTCCCTTGTGTTCAGCACCAGGCCAGAGATTAACCAGCCCCAGTTCAAATGCCCTCACCCAAATTCAAGAATGAGCTCCACTTCTCAATAGGCTGTCCATCCAGAGAGTTGCTGTTTTAAGGGGCTTATTGGTGAGAGGAAGAAGGCCTAGGTCTGTGCCCTGAGGGTAGACTGGAATAATGGAAGCGACCATTGGGGAATGCATTACCTGGGCAAAAAGCAACTGGACCAGGGTCAATGTGCACGGAAACGCCAAAAGTCAATTTCGTTGGCCAGGCCAATGGTTCTTTGTGTGTAAGCCTACATCCACTGGTTTCAGTCAACTCTGGCCAGTCCTAGCTAGAAGGCCCGAACTCCACTGGACTGGTCTGAATAAAAAACAGCTGGGTGCCATGTCATAAGGACTATATCACACGTACAAGAAGGGTGTGTGGCCTGACATACACTACTGGGGAAAAACAAGGAACGATCATGCAAGTAAATGCAGTAGCTGCTGAGCTGCAGGGCCCAGGGGGGGTCAAGGCGGTGGAGTGCCTACCCGGTTGCTTTCGCTCTTTGAACGGTCATTCTTTGCCTTGGCTGTCTTTTCCGCAAGCTTCTTCTGCCTTTGAGGGCCTCTTCCAAAGAAGATGTAGTTGACAAAGGCGTACTCCAGAAGGGCCAGGAACACAAAGACGAAGCAGCCCATAAGGTACATGTCGATGGCTTTGACGTAGGGGATTTTGGGCAAGGTCTCCCGAAGGTGGGTGTTGATGGTTGTCATTGTCAGCACGGTTGTGATCCCTAGAAAACAAACAAAGTGGTGAGAGGCTGCAGCTTTGCCACACGGGTCTTCACTGTTCACTGTCCTTTTGTGTTTTCCCAAACAGCTTTAAGTAGTCAGAGATAATGGGTCGAATACGGCGGGGTGACTGGAATGCAACAGAGCACACATCGTGTCATCGGGGCCACGCATCACCGCTCAGAACAGCGAGCTGACATCTGTACTCTGGGGAAGTGAAGTTGTGCAGGGCATCTCCCTCCCCCACCCAACCCCTGCCCACTGCACCTTGCTATCACACAGGATGGAATTTTGAGAGTAGAAGAAGAGATAAGGAGAGCAGAAAAAAAGAATGTGGTTTTTATTAATGCTGGAAAAAATAAAAATAAACCCAGAATTTAGCATAAATGATGAGAAACCTCCAGGAAAAAGAATGAATTGGAGGGGTCCGTAGCTGCAGAGGCAAGGCTATGAGCGAGAGCTCAGTGAGACAGCCTGTGAGAAGAAAATAATTCGTACTACAATGCTTACTGGAAGCGAGAGGAATGAGGCAATGAGTTTTAAAATTATTAGCCATGAGATCCAGCCCTGAGCTCAAAGAGAAAGAAATAGCTGAGCTATTCTTCTGAGGGAAGATGATCTCACAGAGCAACTTCCCTCCTCAACTAAGAAAGAATCTGTACAGAAGCTGCTTAGGAAATGTTTGCTCAAGTTAAGGGTTAGTGATTTCATTCATCTTATAGAATCCCACCATACTCCGGGGCAACTCATCAGATCCTTTTTTTAAAAGTCGTTACGTTGAATTCTTTACATAGTATTGTATGAATGATCTCATTGTTTCCCAAACAGAGCTCAATGTAGTCTAGAACCATGTAAGGACCATATTGTGCAATTCTCCCTCCCATAGCAATAGACAAGATTCCACACTGAATCATCTGAGGCCACAGACACCGGGAGGCAAGTGAGTGGCGTGCCCAGAGCTTGTTGAGTGAAGCTAAGCTGCGCTCACAGGAAAGGCATGGACCATTCTCGTGTGGTAGGGTGGGATGGTAGTACTGCAGCTGACACGCTGTCTCGGAGACTGTATTTTTGAAATATTAATACGTCTCAAGGATGCAAGACAGCTTTGAGTGCTGAGCTCTTTTCTACCCATGCAACTGATGCCACTGAATGTGAAGATGTGGCTTTCAGGACCCAATAAAGTGAACAGGTTTCTCTGCATTGCTTTGTCAGGCTTTCCTCAAAAATGAGACTTTAAAAGGAGACAGTCTAACCATAATCCTTCATCCTCAGTCACCCAAAACCTACATGACATCACTGAGGCCAAGAGGTAGTGCCAGCCCTACAGCTCAGCACTGTCAGGATATGTACTCTGGGATGCAGCCCAGGCCATTCTGCACATGGTCCCAGCCCAGCCCTCCAGGGCAGGGTTTGAATTTACTAAGCATTCCAACTTCATCCCCCTCTGATTTCCCATCCTATCCTAGGAGGCAGCATCTCGAGGCCCACAGGGAGGAACTCGAGACTGCAGAGCTCAGCTGGCCTGGGAATGAGCTGGCGAGCAGGCTAGAAAGCCCAGTCTTCCATCTCCAACACAAGCGCTCCCTCCACTGAGCTCTGAACTGCTACTAAAAGCTAAGAAGAGAATTGAAGAGTTGAGGAACTCTTTTTACATAGAACTGTAAACCATGGTTGCTGATGGAATGTACGGAAATCCAAGATGTCAGAGTAATTTAAGATTCTCTTTTAACATCACATTCATGTGCACCTGGGGACTTTTTAAAATTGAAAATGGCAATGGGATAATTACTGTTTACAAATAAACGTGAAAACACCGTGCAAATGCTACAAAATTAGGCATTCTCACCATTATTCACGAAGTTTGTAATGTCGTTGCCACTACCGTGGTTCCCCCTTCAACGTGGATTTGGGAAGACTGAGCACTTTGCTTTAGTCATGGCTCTGCCTCTCCTGCTGGCTATTTTGAATGGACATGTATGACACAGGCCTCAGCAGATGTCCCAGACAATGGGCTGAAAGCACACAGGAATAGGTGCAGCCAGCACATCCCACAGGTACTCAGCCTGGTAAAGGAGCCCCAGAGGGACCTGGGCTAGGACCCCGGACCCAGGCCCATTAGCACAGGCTCAGGAATCCCTGACAAAAAGATTCGCAGTGACTGCTCGGGTCTTTCTAGTTTGGACCCACAAGCCACATGAGTTCTTAGCTTAAGAGGATAACGCATTTACTAACTCCTTCTGTTGCTTTACCTCCTATGTAGGACACCGTGGATGGTGGTATATTGTGGTGGTCCACAGCCTGTAAAGGGGAGCCACACGGCCCAGACCCAAAGCGCTGCTCTGCCTCTGTGGGTCTGTAGCCATCATTTGGAGCTGCTGGAAATCTGATGGCAATGTCTGAAAAGCTCTGATGTGCCAATAAGTAGTAACTGGCACTGTTAACACTAACAACAAATAATCATATGAGTATCATCATTACAGAAAAATCATTCTTCGGTAGCCTCTGGGTTTCCTGGCCTTGCCTTGACCTTCTGCTCTCTAAAGGCAAATCATCCAGCTGCGGTACAGAAAATGGCTGGGTGGTGGCTTTCGTGTTGTTTTGTGTGTTCACCAGGCTTGTAAGTCGTTCTATAAATTGCCAGCCTCAATTTATTTGTCATTTAGATTATGTATGAAATATTGTATTTGAAAATTATATTTATAAAAATGAATATGAAATAAAATATAATTTCTTTGCATTGTTTAATCACAATATTTTGTTTCTCCTCCTCATGAAAAAAATAATCTGGCCTAAATTTTATCAGTATACATTTTTACCTTTAGAAGTACCAGTACTTTTGCAGATTGAGTATCCCTCACCTAAAAATCCAAAATCTGAAATGTTCCAAAATCTGGACCGTTTTGAGTGCCTGCATGGTGCTCAAAGGAAATGCTAATTGGAGCATTTCAGATTTTGAATTTTTGGATTAGAGATGCTCAAACTCTAAGTATAATGCAGATACTCCAAAATTAGAAAAAAATCTGATTTTCAAAACACTTCTGGTACCAGGCATTTTGGATAAGGGACACCAACCAGTATTCACCAAGGGTTTTGAGGGAGGCCATCTAATGACAACTTCCCACTTTAAAGTTTGGTGGTCGTTAACACAAACAGTTCAACGTATCTGATGGTCAGACCCTGGGCAGCAGAAGCATATCATACTGAAGCCCACAGAGCAGCCGAGGAGCACGGCTGTTGGAAGAGCCAGCAGAACAGGCCCTGAGTCCCTCCCATGTTGAGTCCAGATCCAGTAGTGCCCAGAGCCCAAGGGTGAGCCCTCCACAGAGGCCTCTGCTGAGCCCCGCCCACCCTGTCTGTGCAGAGGCTGCACCTTTATCATGCATTTAGAAGCAATGCGTATCGATCACAGTGCAGCCCCTTCGGATGAATGCAAAACACACTGTGAGCATTTCAAAGCTGTGCTACAAGACGAGGTGCTTGGGAAGGGGTGGCAGGAAGGGGGATTTCTCCAGTGAAAGCTCTCCAAACTATAGAGGTATCCTATGGAGCTCAGTAGCATCTTAACAGTTATGGGGGATTCCTCAATAATAAGAGTTCATAATATTTGGTTAGCTTTTTTCTTTTCTTAAAAAAAAAAATCCATGGCTTTTATAACATAGTAGACCAAATAACTCTTTACTACAGTTTTATTGACACTTTAGGAATTATATGTAGTAGTTAAGGGAGGTCTGGAAGTTAGACTAACTGGATTGAAATCTTTCTTCTGAAACTTGGTAATTACATGACTTCGTACCAGCTACTGAGCTTCTCTGCATCTCATTTTCGTGCTCTGTAAGACTGGGGCGATAATCCTCCATACCCTGCTGGAATCTTCTCCAGGACAGATGACTACGTGAATGGCCTTAGCAGAGAAAGTGGCGCCCAACTATGTGGTAATTTTCAGCCTTTATTATCCTGGCTGTGGTACTGATGATGATGATGACGTCATTCAGTGCTCCTGGCACTGCGTCATGATTGTCTGAATTCGCCAACTGACGTTTCCCAGCGACTGCAGATCTGGACTCAAGTCTTGTATTGGCAGGAGGGACAGGGAATGCATGTGCAGGTGTCATACTCTGAGAGCTGGATCTGTTGGGTTCTTGTCTGGCCAGACCCACAGCCCTAAGATCACAGCTGCCCTCCTGACCTTGGGGTCACGCTAACTCTAATGAATATCCCCTTCGCTCTGGCTCTCACGCCTGCCTCCAGCAACCCTAGCCAGCCCACGCCTTCATCCCAGCAAAGCCACAGAGGCCCAATTGGTTTCTATTAAAAATGCTGTGTCATGAAGAAAAAGTGTGGAATCTACTTTCATATACCTTAATGAAACTGGGTTAAATGGAACTCACTTCCAGGGTACTAACGGTTTAACACAATAGAAGGCAACACTTTACAATTAGGGAGGGACAGAATCTGTGATGGCTAGGAAATTCAGATACGCACATTTTCAGTACACCCCATCCCTTGTGATGTCAGATAATCATGGCTCCTTGGTACTCATATTTCACTAATTATCGCAGTGACTGGCAAATTCTCTGCAGTAGATTCACGGCAAAGCAGTGAAATGTCAGCTTCAGCTCGGTCTCCACTTTCATAGGCCTTTTCTAGGCTTGCGGAGGGGTCCCAGCAACTTTGCATTTGTATATTTCATATTATTTTTCTTAAAAGGGGGTGCTTGAAATTGTATAAGCTAACAGCTCTGCATAATTTAGATCTGCCCCTACACATGTATTGTATCTCTGAATTTTCCAAGTGAAAAGAGAAAAGAGTTTAACAAAGAGTAATCTAGTAAAACATATATATATTTTTAAAGTAAGAGCTACATAAAGACTGACATTACTGGGGAAGATCTGCGGGCTGCAGAAAGTCCTGGATACTTTTTTTTTTTTTTTAAGGGAACTGTGTTTATGATACCTATTAGAAATACATAAAAATGAAAACAGCACTTTGTTTTTTGCAGATTTACTCTTCATAGAGTGGTTTTTTAATCCACTTAACACCCTTAGGAAGAGCTACCTGATTTTCTCAAGTCATAGTTATGTGTTATTTCCTGGGAAATAAATCTAACCTTGATTACAACTATGCAAGTCACATGTTTGTCATGCATATACTCACATGTACTTACATTTTATTAGAAAAGAAAACATGTTATTCAACTTAAAGTCCTGGGAAAAGTTGGTAAACAGAAAAAGGGCTGGGTGTGGTGGCTCACGCCTATAATCCTAGTACTCTGGGAGGCCGCGGTGGGCAGATGGCTTGAGGCCAAGAGTTCGAGACTAGTCTGGGAAACATGGCAAAACTCCATCTCTACAAAAAATTAAAACATTAGCCAAGTGTGGTGGTGTATGTCTGCTGTCCCCTCTATCCAGGATGTAGAGTTGAGAGGATCACTTGAGTTCAGGTTGAGGCTGCAGTGAGCCGTAATCATAATTGTGCCACTGCACTCCAGCTTGGGTGACAGAGTGAGACCCTGTCTCAAAAAAAAAGAAAAGAACAGGAAAGAAGGGATAACTGGAACTCTGAATTCTTATGAATTCTTATGTTTTTTGGTAAGGTATTTTGCCAGATAATGCGTTGATAATTCTTTTCCATCAATTTTTATAAGTACTATTGACTTTCACTTTCAGGAAATAAATTCAACCCCACCCAAAGGGATGGACAGAAGATTGCCCAACAGCTCTGTACTTATGTAAATATATTTAAATAATTATTTTGTCTATGCCGTTTCATATTAATCAGCTGAGTAGAGAATAATGTTTCTGAAAATACAAGCCTTCCCTTAATAACCAAAATGCTAAAAATAATATTGGAACCTATAGTACATATTGTACATCAGCTAATAATCCAGTTGTCAAACCACCAATGGTCAGAAAAGATCACCAGGGCCTTTGGGAATCACTCAGAATTGAATTCTACATTTTAGTGCTCATCACATTGTGCAATTCCAGTTCTATGCTGTAATATTTGACTATTTTTCTGACTTATAAAAGAAGAATGCACAATTAATCAAGTCTTCTTTCTGGGCCGTGGAATAATTTTGAACAGGAGATGTTAATCCTTGCTTTAAAATTAGTGTCAAAACTAGTTTTATCATGCAAATATTCTGCAAGCATATTTTCCCTTTCATGGGCATGAAAATTCTCATTTGAGCCTTATAATTAAATTAACACATCAAGGGAACCGTGCGTGAAATTAGTGTTTCAAGATAAAAAGTGACTATACGGGCAACGCGTGTGTCACGATGTCAAAAAATGGTAGTTGAACTACAGCCTTTGAACTATCTGAATCCTGTAATGATACGATTACTTTACATTTAAATATCACTTAAAAACAGCACATACCGAGGGCGACCCTAGCGGCAGATGCATCATAATTGATCCAGAAGGACACCCACGACAGAATCGTTATCAGTATCGAGGGCATGTACGTCTGAAGAATGAAGTACCCAATGTTCCTCTTCAGCCGAAAGCTCAGCGACAGTCGAGGATAGGCACCTAGGGGACACAGACAAGGATATTACACCAGAGAAACGGCACGGCAGACTAAAGAGTTTGCTTTGACCTCCACAGGTCAACAACATGCAATGGAGAAGTCTGTGAATGAAGGGGTGGTCCACCACCAAGCAGTTTGCTTCTGTCTGCTAGCGGTATTTCTAGAAGAATCAGGAGGGGGGTGCTTTTCGATCTATTTATAAGATAGCGATGAGGATGCTCTTCTGAGGCTACACACTCAGTTGAGAACCTGGAAAAACTTAGAAGTTTTTAGCTTAGAATCCAGAATAATGCCAAATGTCTTGTTTATTCTTTAATGGACAACTATTCCCTTCTTCCTTGTAGACAGGGGAGAGGTGGCTCAAGGCTTTACTGGGCAAGAAAGGCTTTGACCAGTTGTCCTTTCGGCCCACCTGGAGTTCAGCCCTGAACACAGATGTTGGAGGCATGGTCCCTAGAGTGACTGGGCTAGCTCAGGGGCACCCTAAGAACAAGAGAGGCAGAGAAGCAAGTCCAGTCCCGGAGAAAGCAGCAGTGCACACTGAGGGCTTCTGCTTCGGCCACAGAAGAGGCATTAACGAGAGCTCGAAGGAGCACCTGTCTGCTTTCTTGTCCACGAGTCCCAGTATTAATTCTCAGATGTGAACATTCCACTCAACACACTTTGGAATCCTACCACCACCACCAGGACAGAGTGAGAAAATATCCTGCCACATTCAGCACTGTATTTGCCTTTTCTCTCTTATTTCGTTTTTCTTTCCTTTTGTTTTTTTGAGATGGAGTCTCGCTCTGTCACCCTGGCTGGACTGCAGTGGCATGATCTCAGCTCACTACAACCTCCACCTCCCCGGTTCAAGTGATTCTCCTGCCTCAGCCTCCCAAGTAGCTGGGACTACAGGTGCCCGCCACCACGCCCAGCTAGTTTTTTTTGTTTGTTTGTTTGTTTTTGGTATTTTTAGTAGAGACAGGGTATCACCATATTGGCCAGGCTGGTCTTGAACTCCTGACCTTGTGATCTGCCCGCCTCGGCCTCTCAAAGTTCTGGGATTACAGGTGCGAGCCACTGCGCCTGGCCTATTTTGGTTTTCTTAGAGCAAGGCAAGTGTGGCCTTTGTTTCCCCCTGTTTGTTTCAATAGGCCACTTTCTCAGTTCCAATCCTCCCGCTCCTTGTTTTCTGGATTCTGATGGAGCTGCCTGAGAGCCCGCCAGTGAGAACCGAATGACCCTCTCTAATCAGCTCCTCCGATTGCTCCCCGACACTGGCAGGTGCCTTCTTTCTGAAGCCGCCCACACCCTAAACTCCAAAAGGCCTCACCTTTCCTGATCTCCTCCTACTCCAAGCCTGGCAGGCTCCTATTCTCCTCCTGCCCCTAAGTATATGCATTCTTCAGACTTTATTCCACGTCCCTTTCTGTGTCTGTCCCTAGATTTTTCTCTTTGGCAGTCTGATTCACTCGTATGACTATTACCATTATGCAGGAGATGAACGATTTTATCTCCAGGCCTCCTACCTTTAGCATCAACCACATTTGCAGCCAGGATTATATAAAAGAGAAAAGAAATCACCAAACATACCCAGCTCTTCAAGGCTGACAGTCTCGGAAATTTCCTCCAGTCTTTGTGTGTGTGTGTGTGTGTGTGTGCGCGCAGAATTTCTCATACACAGCTCTGATCAAATGCATATATCCTGTGTCATCATAGCATAAAACTTTTTAGAGTTGCTACAAATTATTTGTAAACACAATTTTCGGTTCTTCCTAATGATCCATCAAATATCGACACAAGGACTCTATAAATACAAATTCCTGAATGCTGTAGATTTAGGTGTTTTCAATTTTTATAAAACTATAAATAGCACTCTTAAGGATATATTTGTGCAGAGCCATTTTTCTACATTGAGACTTATTTCTTGAGGATGAATATGCCAAAAGAGGGATTGGTAGGCCAAGGTTTAAAGCTTTTGATAAAAATTGTCAAATTACTTTGCAAATGTATCACACCAAGGTATGCCGCTGCCACTATCAGCAGATTAACAAAAGTGCCTAGTGCACCTTGCAAATATGACAATATCACACATTATCTCTTATAAATAGGCTTTGCTATATCCCTTGGGAAAACCTTGTCCTTTCAACGACTTTTTAAAAAATTGAATACTTCCTAAATGTTTGTTTGTTCTCTGTATTTAATCTTATAAATTATCTGATTACTCATTTATTTTTCTCATTTCTCTTTCCTCTGATGGCTTTTACCTTTTCATTGAAACACTTTATATGTTAATCCTTGCTTGTATTCTCTGCAAGCATTTTCCCAGTTGTCAGTTTGTAAAGCTTGTAACAGCTTTGAGTGGAGGACATACAGATCCCTAACTTTTTGTATGCAATTACATCTATCCATTTCACTTTTTCCCTTGTGATTGTTAAAACTTGCATTTAGCCTTCGGTAAGCTCACAATACAGATCTACCTGCAAATCTATTTTGAGGGGTGGCAATTATTTCAGTGTTTGACATGAAGTGAAAACGTACATGGATTTTGGTTCCACAAACAGCAAACCGGTTTCTCCAACACCATCAGCAGAAAGAGGCTTCCCTTCATAATACATTTCACACAGTTCTGTTGTTTTTAGACTCCTTTTCTTGTAAATGCGGATCATGGGCCTGATGCAGCACGCGCGGGGGCCAGACCCTTCTCGCGGGCCTCGCCCTCCCGGTTCTGGGCCTTGTGCGACTTGGGCACATTCAGGAAACACGGAAGCGATGCTCACTGTCATGCCACACTCAAAATCTCCTACGGCTCATTGCTTCCCAAACATCAAAACACGCATCCAGGAATTTTAGTTTCTCCATCTTTTCCCAATTTAACTTCAGTTTTATTTTCCACCATGTTTCTGCATTAAGCACCACATTTTTTTAGTCAAAGAGGTTCTCACTGCCTCAAAATACTCGTCTCTATTTCCTGCCTCTGCTGACTCACATCCCGGTTTTGAAGATGTGTCTTTCCTTATCCATACCTCAAGGTCTTGGTCAAAGCCCCATCTTCCATGAATCCTTTCTTTTTCCTCCTTCCTCTTGAATTTTTTTCTCATTGTTCATATTATTATAATTATAAACATTTACCAAGGTAAGATCTTCCTTAATAAGCCATACAGTCCCCAGGGCAGAATTTGTGAGGTAATTTTTTTAATATACTACAATGCCTAGGTAAATGTCAAAACCATCATAGGTTCTGAATAAATACTTCTGAATGCTGAATGAATGAAAATAGGAGTATTTAGTTTCTCTATGTAAATCTTTAGTTGAGCTTAATACACAAAATGCTCAACATCATTATTGAATTGTAGCTTGAAATCCCATGGCAACTTCAATATCTTTTACTGAAGTAACTTCAATATTGGCTCTTAATTTGCAATTTCATGGCAACCTCAGACCTTTCTTAGCACTTATTTGCTTCTCTTTGCTTCAAGTACATCTTACTGTAATCCGCCATACATGGAACAGTCTCTGTATCAGTCAGGACATGTTGGCTTATGCTACAGTAACAAATAGCACCCAAATCTCTGTAGTTTGTAACAAAAATTTTTCTTATAAACAATATATCCACTTAGCTCCCTCTGTTTGCAACACTGTTGGCCTCTGTGGTAGAAGGGCTGTACACACTTCCCGTCATACTTCTGTGGCCAGAGCAAGTCTCATCGCCAACTGTTATGTCAGGAGAATGGGAATGTTTAATCCTCCCCCAGAGAAGAGCAGCAAATATTTTTGAATGATAATGCAATTTACTATATCCTCCAACTTTCCATTTGCCAAGTCAACTTTCTTAAACATTTTCCAAAGTACATCTTCAGGAAAACTGTGGGCAGCAGAAACCAATATTGACACCCATGCAATGCCATGACCGTACAGTCAAACAAACACTTGGAAGATCATTAGGGACCTTGAGGAAGAGAATACGAAACTGATTTCAAAAACACATTCATCTCTGGAAATTCACCAGGATACCCATTGACACAGAATTTGGAATTAAGAAAATATACCATTTTCTTTTGTAGTTGTTTAGCAAATACATTCTATTTATTAAAAATGCCTTTGGGAGGCCGAGGTGGGTGGATCGCGAGGTCAGGAGATCGAGACCATCCTGGCCAACATGGTGAAATCCCATCTCTACTCATAATACAAAAATTAGCCGGGTGTGGTGGCGTATGCCTGTAATCCCAGCTACTCAGGAAGCTAAGGCAAGAGATCGCTTGAACCTGGGAGGCGGAGGTTGCAGTGAGCTGAGATAGAGCTACTGCACTCCAGCTTGGTGACAGAGCGAGATTCCATCTCAAAAAAAAAAAAAAAAAAAAAGAAACTGTCATTTCCAATTACCAAAATGTTCAGGTATTCAGCATATGCCCCACACATTCCAGTCTCTGAAGTGGAAACAGTGAGTGGGGCAAACAACGAAGACGAATAAAAGCACAGTTCACCCTCCCAACTGTTAATAGCTCCTGACCCATGTCAGACAGATTCATTCAGAACTGGCCTCCATAAAGCTGTGGCATGCACTATCCTGAAGGTATAAAAATATGCTAGGGCACAAGACTTAGTGATTTAGGAGAGGTTTCATGGTATAGGCACCTCTGGTGTATGAGACACTCATGGTCGAACAGGACTCCTTCAGGCAGGGAGGAAGGAGAGCTTTCAAGGTAACGGACCCAGCAGAGCCGTTCAAGATGCCATGAGACAGAGGCCTCAGAAGGTTAGTCAATCTGGTAATTATCTGACGTAGTAGATCTATTCTGCTAGGCAAAGCCTTTTCCCATTTGATGTGCATCTTAAAGAGTGCATAAAAGTGTTTTTGTAGCTCCGGTAGACAAGGTCCTTACACTGGCAGGATGGAATGCCATGAAATATGCTGTATGTATATGGAAAACTCCCAAGTGATCACAGCTAGTGGCTAATATTTTAAAGTTGAGAAGTCATGAGTCAGCCGCACTACGACATCCCCTTTAAAACGAAACGG